TTAGATAAAACATCATTACTGAAATTAGTATCTTTGTTTACACGAATTTTGTTGCGCTTTTTCTAAATGTTAATTAATGGTAAAATTCAAAATAGTCAGACGGCTGATTTTAATACATGATCGACATGACAAGTTTTCTGTAGAACGAACTTTGACGAATGAATTGAACGTAAACAATCTTTGTGCCTCTAAGTAGAAACAATCACGCGTCTTTGCCTTTTAAAACGCAATCATTATGCGTCAGTAGCTCTTCCGATGATGGAGCAACAGCCTTTCAAAGAAATATATAGTAAAGTCTTAACACTAGTGCTTGGTCTTTTTGGTTTTTGATGCGATCAACGTTTTCACCTTATTTAGCGTAGTATGAAAAATATTCGATTCTGCATTACCTCACTATGCAATTGCAATGCTCTTGCACTCTCCAATTTTTTTGAGAAAGGTTTCATTATATAACCAAGAAATAAAGATCTTTATTGTTGATCATCTAATCGAGGCAATCGTAAATTTGAAAACATAAAAAAACAGGAATTATTATTATCTTCTCTCACTGTTAAAGAAATCGGCCGAGAATATTAATAATTATGGTTAAAGAGAATCGATCGAGATTTTTTAAATAGGAATACTTTGCCACCACAAAAAAAATCAGGTTTGTTCTCAGTTTAAATAAATTAACAAAGCCTTTTTTGAGAACACAAGGAAAAAAAACAGGAATTGATATTACCTTCTCTCACTGTTAAGAAATCAACTAATAATTTGTATAGCTAATTTATTGAGAATAGAAACACTTCGCCACAACAAAATAATTCCTTAAATAAATTTATCAAGTCTTTTTAAGAATATCTCATAAAATTTAATGTGAAAATAATTATTACTGAAGGATCAGTTAGATATCCAAAATTTCAGGCCATGAAATGTCAATAGCTATTTCAAAGCTCTCAAAGAACAATTTTGGGATGAACTTTTAGAGGCACAGCATTTGGTATAATAGTTGATGAATCAACTGATATACCTACCAGTGACAAAACATTTGGATATTATGGCAAAATGAGAACAATATTCTTACAATTATTAGAATTATGCACATACTATTTCATCATTAATAATTGATTTATTGAAAAAAAAACTATTTTAAAATTATTATATTGATTAAATGATTTTTAGATGTTTTAAGAAAATTGGTGGCTTTAAAGAGATGGTGTTTCTGTAAAATTTGTCCTTATTTAATGATCAATCACTGTTGTTCATTGACTAATAGAGCATATACTAATAATAATAATAATTTTTTTTTTATTATTCAACAATCATATCCTAACTAAATAATACAATCGGCTTCACTACATTAACTTGTTAAATAATTTTGAGGATAAAAAATATAACATAAATGCTTAAACTTCTGCAAATTGGCTTGACTATGGCTTGATTATAATAAAAAACATTGATGGATTGTGACAAATAAAGTTGTGGCGAAATTAAAGGCAATTGTTGATAACTTGTGGATTTGATAAATTGTTAATCTCTCTTTCTTTAGAAAAAAATACAACAACAATAATAAAGATATCATTAATTAATTAATTCTTACTTGCAAAATATTA